TAGGTCAAGAAAGGTTCAGGGAAGGCAGGGAAAATACAGTCCAGGCAGTACCAGGCAGTCCGAAGACTGTCTCCCAATCCACTCTCTAAACGCTGGTAGTAGTGAGGAAGCAGACAGGCACCCTTTTCACTGGCCAACAGTTAACTGAAAGTTCACATTTTGCACTTTCCCTGCCTCCCACGTGGTTTTTTTTAGTTCTTAACTCAAATCTAAGTATGTAAGTCAAGTCAATATTTTCCTATGAGAGCGGTTCTTAAGTCAAAATGTTCTTAACTCAAGGCGTTCTTAAGTCAAGACCCCACTGTAGTTCAAGGGAACACTGGTGTTCCCAGTGCCCAAGGAATGCCGAACACCTTGCTCCCATCCCGACAGTCTTTCTGATCTAACAAAAGCAAGTTGAATTGGCATTTAAACATTTTCTTTTTTTATGTACTTCATTATTGTGGTTGTTGCTGCTGTTGTTCCAGGCTAACATAAGGTGCATTGCTGTAAACAGAGATAGTTGTTACTAAGAAATGTGTTGCAGTAGCCAGTCAGACATCTCCAGGAACACCTGCAGCTTGTATGCTAACTTTAACTGTGCAGAGTCATCATCGAGCTGGTATGCTAGCTTTAACTGTGCAAAGTAATCATCACTACCAAAATGTGGGCATTCAGGCTCACAGTTGAGTACAGGAATACACTCAACCTATGAGTTTTCAGGGAAGTTTAACCCCATCCAGCACAAGTCACAGTTGCTATTCCTTAATCTGCCTTTTGACCAACTAAGAGTATATAGTTTTTCTGGATTAAGATTCATCTTGTTCACCTGCATGCGTTCCATTACTAACTTCACACACTGGTTTAACCCTTCCTTAGGTTTAGAAAGTAAGGTTAGAGTTGGATTTCATAAGTGTACGAGTGTGACCAAATCTGAACTCTGGAATATTCTCAGTAGGTTCATGTGTAATTTAAACTGCATTTGTATTTATATTTCTTTATTTGAAATATGTTTAGCCAGCCTTTCTCCTTGAAAAGGACCCAGGGTGTAGCCTTTCTCCTTGAAAAGGACCCAAGGTGTCTTACAACAATGAAAGACAATATATAGAGTTGAAAACAATGAGTATACAATAGTGGTTAACATCATTAAAAGACAATATTTAAAACTACAAACAATAAAGAGGCATCTTACATCATTAACACACAATGTTAAGGCAAAGATCAATTAGTATACAAACGTGTTTTTTAAAAATGCCACTCTGAGAAATGGAGAACTTATGCAACAGGACAAAACCTTGAAGGATCCCACATATGGTGGAATTGAGAGAAGACCTTTTCCTGAATATGTCAAAGATAAGGAGTTGGATTATATGGGAAGATAAAGCTCTTCACTGGCAGCCAGTGAAGTTGCTGCAAGAAGGGAGTTATATGGTTCTTGTGACAGTCAGCAATCTGGCTGTAGCACTCTGAACAAGCTGAAGTTTCTAAATGCTCTTCAAAGGCAGGCCCACATACAGCGCATTGACGTAATCCAAAGAAGATGTAACTAAGGCATTTGCACTGTAAGTAAGTCAGACATTTCCAGAAATGGGTGTACCTCATGTTAAATCAAATGTATTCTAGCATGCAGTGCTAGAAAAATGATTATTTGTGCTTCTTTGTATAACAAATACTGTCTGTTAATATTTTCCCCAAAACATAAGTCCCGGCTTCTTAAAATTTGGCTTGTAGAAAAGGAGATGGAGTTAGCAGGGAAGCCATGGTTAGGGTGGAAAGAGGTGAAATTGCATTACAACCCCCAGCCCACCTCAGGTTTTTTCCCCTTTGAGAATGTGCATTGATTTAGAGTTCTCAAATCCCATTTTACTATATTTCACCATAGGTTGGTAAGTGTCAGATCTGGATAGAGGGGAGATGCAGGAAACTGTCTGGCAAAGAAGGTTGGCAGGACCATTTAAGACTGGGATGGTATGAGCGCTGTGTCTCATGTTCGGGCTCACTCCCAAGCTAGAAACCTCCTTTCATTTCACTTCTTAGAATGTAGCATTCATTAAATCAGTGGTTCCTAAAAGACTCTTTATGTTGCAGCTTGTGAAGTGCACTTTGAAAACACAAAAGTTCCAATAGAAAATGTTATTGGAGAAGTTGGAGGAGGATTTAAGGTAAGATGATAATAATAATAGCTGCCTTGGGTAGTTTTTAAGGAGAAAGGCAGGATGGATGGATGGGTGGATTCTCTACCTTTAGCTGTATGTAAAAGATGGTGGAGAAAGGGAAAGTAAAACTTGTTAGTATGAAGTGATATTTTGATGAGTAATAACAAAGCAACGCAAGAGAGGAAGGTTCTGCTAGCTGTAAAATCGGCTATTCACTTAATGCTTGTGATTGATTAAAACTTAAAAGAACGAATGAGTTTTTAATTTGTGTATCATGTTTGAACAGTGAAGCTTTGTAGTGAGACATCAACAGTAGCAGCTTTAAGCTGCAAAAATTTCCGCCCCCTGACAACTCACCAGAGTCTAATGATCTCTTGGAAACAATAAGACCAAGTCGATTGCAAGTTCTAATGTTTCTCTCATTTTACTTGTTTGTATATAGCAATACAGATAGCTGTTTACCTCTTTATACACTAATGGATATTTTCTCATTCTGATTCAGTTCTCAAAGTCTCATTCAGTGTGAACTAGAAATGTCAATAAAATTATTTTCCAAATCCTTTAAAATACTGTACTAATGCACACGGTTTGTCAAGCAGCTGCAGCCCACAGGAATGTCAGTTTTCTAGTATGAAGGTATGCGAGGGTACAAGACCAAGAACCTGTAATTCTGATTGATTTTGTACTTGTAACAATCAACACAACTAATAGTGTTTTACATGCTGTTATATAATGTCTGAGATTTCATGTTATTTCCAGGATATGAAAATGCTTTCAGTAATTGGCACCGAGATACACGACGAAGAGGCTTATTTCTTTTGTACTATCTCCATAATACTTGCTCTTGCAATTCACTGAAGTTAGAGTTTTGCAAGACCTGTAAAAATCAGCCAAGTCAGCCTACGTGATATGTTTAGGAAAATGAAACTCACCGTCGTATAGGAGAGTACCTGCGTACATTTGGTCTGTCATGTGGGCATTCACCCTTGATGGCCTTGGCCTTTGGTTATCCTTCCAACAACCTTCCCCTCCTTCAGCTTCACCACCCTTGGCTGTCTCTTGTGACTGTGTTCAGTTTCCCTTGGTGCTGCTTATGCCTGGAGCTGCCTCCCAGAATATCTTTGTGCAGCCACTTCCCTTAGATCCTTCCTCGGAAAAGACCTGTTCTGTGAAGTGCTTGGGTCATTACCTAGGTCTTTCCACTTAATGCAATTAAGCCAAAGAACACGTAATTAATGTTTAGCCATGCCTCCCATTTTCCCTCTCCTCTGTCTCCTTCTATCTTTGATGGTTAGCTCTTTGGGGTAGGAACCTGTTATACCGTGATTATGCAAACCAGAATTACAGGCTTGCAGTCTATCGCTTAGGGTGCAGACATGTCTTCAGCGTATTACGGTGATTCCACAGTGAAGTGCAGGAATCGTTTATGAGAAGGCAACAAGGATATCCTTACTAAGACAGAATAAGAGGGCATAGTGTACTATCCCTACCAAGAGCAGAGTGAGTGGAAATCCTGTTTAAATGGGTAATGCTGATGTGCAGCCTCTCGTTTAAAGGAAAAATGTTTTATCTTTTGAAGTTTCCTGTACAAATACTGTTACTTTTCTTTGCAGGTTGCTATGAATATTTTAAACAGTGGAAGATTTAGCATGGGCAGTGGATGTGCAGGAATGATTAAGAAATTGATTGGTAAGGCTGAGCCTGCTACGTTGCTGGGTGGAGTGACATTTTTCAGTTGTCTTGTTTAAAGGAAAAATGTTTTATCTTTTGAAGTTTCCTGTACAAATACTGTTACTTTTCTTTGCAGGTTGCTATGAATATTTTAAACAGTGGAAGATTTAGCATGGGCAGTGGATGTGCAGGAATGATTAAGAAATTGATTGGTAAGGCTGAGCCTGCTACGTTGCTGGGTGGAGTGACATTTTTCAGTTGTGGGAGTTCAGTTCTCCTCTGTGCCTCCTTGACAGGGGCGGGAGTCGATGATCCATAGGGTCCTTTCCAGCTTTGCAGTTCTAAGATTACTAGATCGCTAGATTAATCTCTCTCTTCCTATGAAAAAAGCTGATTTCTAAACAAAACTTACTGCCATAGTATAAACATTAGTTAATTACAAATTTTGGTCCTAGCCCTAGGAAGAAAAAGCATTTTCATTCTTCGTCATTGGTGTCTGATGGAAATTTTAATTCATACATTTATGTAGGCCTGCCCACCATGATTTTAGATAAAAATTGGCTGACACAGATTAGTTGATTGAAAGAAACTGAATAGGCTTTCAGAAATAGTAATTTCTGAAGTAATGACTGAAGTTCTGTTTTGTAAGTAATGCCACATAAGGCTGATAACTAGTAATGGGGTTGTTAGAATTTGTGGACTACAGCCCGCAGAAACCTGCAGGGACCCCCTGGGCAGACATCTGGAGTTGGGGCGGGGGTTTAATCCAGTGGTGGGATTCAAATAAATTAACAACAGGTTCTATGTCCTAATGATTGATAGATAGATAGATAGATAGATAGATAGATAGATAGATAGATAGATAGATAGATAGATAGATAGATAGATAGATAGATAGATAGATAGATAGATAGATAGATAGATAGATAG